CAAGCGGGCCTGGCCTAGGGAGGATTTTTAAATTGGGTTTTTTAGAAATTTTAATCACCACAACACTAAAATATTGGTTTTAATTTGGTTTTATTCGGTGGGGTGTGTGAGTCTTTCTTTGTCTTTTAAATAATGTTGTGAGCCGCCCTGAGTCCTTCGGGAGAAGGGCGGGATATAAATTGAAATAATAAATAAATAAATAAAAAAAGTATTAAAATAATAATAGTAAAATATAAAAATGAAAGACAGAATAAAATATTGCAATTGATGATGGATTAACAGTAGACAACTAAAGTTTGCCTAATTTTATACATAGCATAGCAAAATTTGGCCATATTCAGAGAAATTATTTCATACTGATCTGATAAAAGTAGTTGTACATAAAAAAGATCAGTATTTCCTAGATATTTTGTTAGGTAAGGTGTTATAAATTGAGTCTGTAAGTCTCAGAAAATGTTTGTAAGTCTTACAGAAAATGCAGTATACCAGATTTGAGCTATAGTTTTAATGGCCCCTTGTCCACAGGGGCACAGTCTCATCTTTTTTTATTCACTCCTCCAAAACTGCTGTGGGAAGTGCGTGGCAGTGCACTGCACACTCCATATACCCCACCTACAAAGTTTTGCTAATTCTTTAGTGGTACTGCTATAAAACATATTGGGTTTGGTGGTACTGCCATATAGAACAGAAATGGTTTTTTTTTTAATTATTGGTCAGAATTCTAACAGAGTCTGCTTAGAAAATCTATCTAAAAAGATTGAACAGATTAAATCAGTGGTATTTTTCATGAATTGAAGTAGATAAAGGATAACACTTTTTTAAAGCGAAAGTAATCAACTGATTAAGTAATAATTGCTTTGATTAGAATTTGAATCCTTTACCTGTTAATCCAGATTATATGTGTGTGCGCACGCAATGCTCAGTTACAAATCAGGAGAAAACGGTTTTACAATCTGAAATTTATTATTATACCTTCCTCAGAAGTCTTGAGAAAAGAAAATTGTAAAGTGTTTTGCAGATATAATTATGATTACTGTGACAATCCAACCCTGATGGATGGGCATTTCAGAAATATTTCCTTAACTACACAAGGAACAAGAATGACCACGAGCAGGCAAAAAAAGCAGTGGGAGTGGGAGCAACTTAAAACTTACTGCCAGCTTCCCCATTAAGTTTCTTTGCTACAGATATGAGAGTTTTAGTAGCACAGTAATCCTCAAATTACACACAGCTGCTTTCCAAGTTAGTTTTCTATTTGAGCCCATTCTAGATGTAGAGATATAGAGACAAGATCACTATATTTTTTTATTTACAGTCTCATTTAAGTAATTACTAATTACACTAGAAATTGTGAAGAATCTGGTAACGCTTTTTTTAGATTAACAAATTTCTTAAAACGTTTTTTTTTTTTAAATAAAGGTTTAGTGATTCTGGGCAAACCCAGTACTCCATGCATCCAAATGGAATTCGGTGGGGTTACCTGGTTGAGCACCACTGCTTTATAAGATGCAGTGATCACAGGTGGTTTTTCATTACCCTAGTCTCTTCAGTAGTGAAAACCTACCAGTAGCTTATGCATTCTATGTGTTTTTTATTTGCTCCAATGAAGATGATCTATATGGCTCGTAATGCAAAGGATGTTGCTGTCTCCTTTTATCACTTTGACTTGATGAATAAGCTACATCCAGATCCTGGCTCTTGGGGTGACTACCTGGAGAAATTCATGACAGGAAGAAGTAAGTTTGCAGGAAACAAAGTGATGAGACTGAGTGTGTTTGCTGCTCACTCACTGAAGAAAAACCCAAATCAGATTATGGACAGAATTTTTTTTAGTTAAAAAAAAAAAGTCTCCTTTTCAGGTAGGGATATAAGTTATGTTTGTATATCTTATAACACTATATTATATATTATAATAAAATGTTGCTTGAATGTTGACATTGAATGGTAGCCTTTATTATGGAAAAGACAAGCCTGATATTTGAACAATATTTAATTGTTCTTTGCACTTCTCTTTTTAACTGTGCAATTGGGAGAAAACAATGTTAGTGCCAAAATTTAAGAATTTATTCTGTCTACATGTCCAATTTGACCATAATCATATGCTGTTGTTTAAAAGAGTGGAAGTTGTGCTTACAAGTCAGTCTTGACTCCTAGAGTCAATTTTTGGGAAAGATTTAGCCTTGCTTTTCAGGGCTAAGAGAGAATGTCTGGCCAGCTAATTTCATGCTTAAGGCAAGACATAGTCTTCTGGTTTCTAGCCTGGTGATTGTAATCAGCACACCAAACTGTCAGATATAGTAATTAGATTCAGCCTATTGTTATCTTTATAGATAAAGCTAAAACAGAATGTTCATACCCCAACATATAGTGAGCTTAAGTACAATTTTACTTTATTCTCCCAATCAGACCCTTGGTAACCAGAGTTTTTATTAAGTTTTGATGTAGCCATAGACTGTTAGTCAACCACATATTAATAGAAAGCCTAACCTGGCCAAATTGTATTAGCCTCTTTCTCCTGAAAGCTGACATAATTCCAAGCATGCATAGAGGTGTGTGGTTACAATACTATTAGAAGTCAGCGTAAGCTATAATTGCAGGCTGAAATAACTGTGAGATTACTATAAACATTTACAATTTAGAAAATTTTAAAGTATTCATTATGCACATTCTTTCATATAGACCAGATTATTCTTGGCAAATTCCAGATGGAATTGAGGTTAAGAAGTATGTGAGTTGTCTAAATATTTCTAGTGCTAAGGGGTGATTTAAAACACTGATTTCATAGCTCCTACAAGAGTACTTAAACTTATAACTGCTTGTCTCTTTTTTTAAATAAGCAATGATCTTTGGCTCCTGGTATGATCATGTGAAAAGCTGGTGGAATAAGAGAAATGATCACTCCATATTATACTTGTTTTATGAAGACATGAAAGAGGTAATAGAATAAGAATACCTTTCAAGTATTTTATCAATATTTATTTATTTGTTTGTTTGTTTGTTTGTTTATTTATTTATTTATTTATTTATATACAGAGTCACTATAGAGTGACTCTGGGGAGTTATGATAGAACTATTTATTTAATCAATGTTCTAAGGCAGGGGTAGGCAACCTTGGCTCTTTTATGACTCGTGGACTTCAACTCCCAGAATTCCTGAGCCAGCCACGCTGAGGGGAAAGGGAGAGGTTTCCAAGCTGAGCCATGCTGGCTCAGGAATTCTGGGAGTTGAAGTCCACAAGTCATAAAAGAGCCAAGGTTGCCTACCCCTGTTCTAAGGTATCCCACTAGTTAATAATTCTGGGCAGCTTACAGAGAATTAAATCAATTTGAAAACCTATTAAAGAATAATTATGTGGGAGGAATCATATTACTGAGCCACTGCTATTGCTTACCAGAACCATACATAAAACCTAGAGCCAAATCCTAATGCTTCCTGAAGCCCAGTAGGATCAGGGCCATATGAAACTCACAGAGGATATTAGGGCAGAAATAGCATAGAAGAAACTTCCTTTTACAGATAAAAGTTTAAATTTTATGTGTAATATTTTAAGAATCTCTTTCTTGAATCAGATATTGGGACCACTTAGTTCCAAGAAGAGCGAGGGGTGGAGGGCCAGGGGCCCATTGGTTGTGGAGAATGGTTGGGGGAGAGCCAGCAGAGGTGGAAAGCTGGCTGTAAATGGATTGAGGTAGATGGCTGGGGGTGAAAGAGGCGCGGCCAAAGGTCCATGCCTAAATGTCCCATTTTACCATCATAGTCATGTAATTGCAGTCTGGGTGCTCATGGACCTGTTTGCACTTAAGACCGGCTGCCAAGTACACTGCAATTTCCAACCTTCTCTGCTGATTCCTGCAACAAGTCGCTGGGGAAGCTGGCCAGAAAAGCTGTCATCTGCTTCCAGCTTCCAGAAAGACTCCCTCTCGTCTTGAGGCTGGCTGAAAGAATTGCCTGCTGAAGGATCCTGCTTAGATTTTGGCAATCCAAGCAATCACATAGCTGAAATACTTCAATAGGAAGCTCTTTCGCTTTTGGAGCTGATTGAAAGAGCTGCATGTTTAAGGATTTCAGTTTTGTGACTCCAAGCAAGCACAGAAGTGAAATCATTCAGCAGGCTCTCTTTTCTCCAGCCCCCAGAGACGAGAGGGAGCCAAGCACCTGAGTTAACAATAGATTTCTGTCCTGTTTATTTTATCCCCTAAGAACTTTCATGTGTGCAGCAAAACTTTATGAAAGGAAATGTGCATCAACAAGCATATGATTTAAATATGATTTTCCATAGGATCCAAAGCATGAGATTAAGAAACTCATACATTTCTTGGGAAAGAATCTTGATGAATCAGTTGTAGATAAGATTGTTTATCATACATCTTTTGATATGATGAAGGACAATCCTATGACAAACTACAGGATGGCTCCAGCTGCTGTAATGGATCATAGTATCTCTCCATTCATGCGCAAGGGTAAGAGGCTGTATGACCTTTCTGATCATAATTCTTCAATTTAGACAATTTTTATTCCTTTATCACTCATTTTCAGCTGATAATGTTGGATTAGAGGCAATATTTCGGTATATATACTTCATTCTCTATATGTGTTTGATTTGTATTATTGTGCATTTTAGGAATTGCTGGAGACTGGAAGAATCATTTTACAGTAGCTCAGAATGAGGCATTTGATGAGAACTATAAGAAGACAATGGCAGATACAACACTGCAATTCCGAACTGAGATCTGAGGCTCCCATGAGCTGTAACAAAGCTGCTGCTTTTATGCAGTTCCATATAGAATATGTCATTCAATATGTTTTGAATTCTTGCAAGCCCTTGGTTTTAAAGAAGAAGCAGATTCTGATTTGACAGGTTGCAGATAATATGCACATAGATTTGGCAAACACTTCCAGACAAAAGGGGCAAGAGGTTTTTGTGACTTTCCTGGGTTTTTGTTCTTTTTGGCAGTAACTTAGGCCATAGTCCTGTTTTAATATATCTCCATAGAAGAATATCATTCTTTTTGCTCTTTTAAAAAGCACATTTAAAAAAAATACCAATTTGGGTAAAAACTGCAGGGAGTCAAAGGATCCATTAGCCTCTACTATTATATTTCCAAATTATAGTGCTGGTCTCATTGGCTGAAAGAAAGTATTAGGACAAAAATACCCCTACAACTAAGCATGAGTTGTGGATTAAACATTAATACTTTTGAAATACAAACAAGTCATTCCATACAAAATTAGGCACAAGTATAATGTATAAAAGATATTCCTTCAGGAATTTTAAGGAAAAACAATCAAACTTAGATAATAATGTTCTTTGCATTTTAACCTTCAAATTGTATTTGGTCTTACTTCCCCTCAAATAACATTTTATTAAGAATTTTGAATACAATAGTAACAACTTATCCAAACTAAACTTAGAGAAAAAGAGAATAAAAAGAAAGAATAAAAAGTACAAGAAAAAAGAAAGCAAAGAACACAATAGAGAATAAATAAAAATATATAAATAAGTGATTTCCAATTTTCATCACAACAGATGTAAATAAATTTAATAACTCTTCACCTGTTTTAAGATATCTCTTCATTCACTATCCCATCCCTTTTCTATAAGAGATAGATAGATAGATAGATAGATAGATAGATAGATAGATGGATGGATGGATGGATAGATAGATAGATAGATAGATAGATAGATAGATAGATAGATAGATAGATAGATAGATAGATAGATAGATAGATAGATAGATCCAGAAAACATCAACTTTTCAGTCTTGGTTGCAGCAAAAAAATCCATAAAGGGTTGCCAGAACTTTGCGTCAGAATATCTTCTTTTCTTGATCATAAATTTATATTCCTCCCTGTTACTTCTAACAGTGTTGGTGGTGATGTGTTCTCTGAGCTTGCTGTTTAGCTTCTGAAGTTTCATCACCAGGCTAGATGACATCCTCACTGAAGCAAAGACACTTCAATCGAAGTCCCACTGAGGATGTCACCTAGACTGGTGATGAAACATTTGGAAGCTAAACAGCAAGCTCAGAGAACAAACCACCATTATCATCTACCACCCGAGCTACAAATATTTTCTATCATTGCTGCTTCTAATACTGTTGAGCTTTAATTCAATGAAATATTGTTATAGGGCTGATTTCTCTTCAATTCTTCTTTATCCAATCACACAGATTTCTTCAAGGCTTTAACAAGCTTTGTTTGTAAATGAGTAAGAAAACATTTTGCCAGGTCATTCTGTTGGTTTATAATTTGTATTTCCCTTTTTAATATTTAAAATTTCACCCACGTTATTTTGTATATCTAGTAAAACTTTCTTTTCCAAACCATTTTCTTGTCCTATCATTTGTAGTTCCATATTCCATCTTAACAGATAAAATTTGTTCCAGATCTGTTAATCTTTCATTAACATTTTTAGACATAGTATATCAATAGAAGCAGAAAACATTACTAATAGTTTTGATCTTATGATTGCTAACTTCTGGCTCCATTCTTCAGAGTTCTCCTTTAATATTTCTGATGTTATAATGTATCATGTCATTCTGTAAATTCCACTATTAACTAACATCAGACTTGTATTTTTTCCTTCTGCTGAAAATCTTTAGTCCCCTCTAAATCATCATTTATCTTTTGTTATGACTTACAGTTGCTAGGATAACCAAAAGAACTCTATTTCCCATGAAAATTTGTTAATCCCAAATTTTTATCATAAAAGTCAGTATTCCAATTTGCAATCCATTTATAACTTTCTCAGATCAAAATCTTATTTAGCTTTTTGTTATTTATTTCAAGTTTTTAAGCTTGCAATTAAATTTTCTTTAAACTCATCTGCTAAAGACTTCAAACCTGTCATCCTAAAGATCTCTAATAGTTTTAGAATAATAGGGAATTTCTGAACGTGATTAGAAAGTGAGGTTTGGAAACTTTATGTCCTTTAAAAGTGTCCAATGCAGTTGCAACAAGATGGCTGATTCTGTCATTTCCTGGTACTCAAACCAAGAGAAAACCATTGTCCTGCAGTCTCCTTATGAAAAGCAGACATCTGAAACATATATGGGTGATCTCCTGTTCTCTCCTTATTCAAAGACATTCAAGGGAGCTAGTCTATGCGTTCTTTGATCTTTGCCACAATTGCCAGCACCGCTTTTGCTGAGCCATCTACAGTTTACAATATTCCATCCCCCAGTCTTACCATTCCCCAAGAACACAAGAAATAAAAAATGAATTTATTTAGCTTCTCACTTGTGTTGCCTCATTTTGCTTTTTTATTTTGTATTTAAACATAAATACTAATAAATCATTATTTGGTGTAGTAAGGTAAACAAAAGTGAGCTGATTTTTCAAAGAGGAAGATTCTTTCCAATCCATTTCACAGGCTTGTTGTTGTAGAGAAGTTTGGAGGCAGGACTACTAAGTAGAGGTAATTCTTGTTTACTGACTGAAATTGGTTCCAGTGAAATGGTTGCTAAGCGAACCACTTGCAAGAGAGGGGGGGAATCATGGTTACTGCCTTCTCATTCAAATAAAGTTCTGTCATATAGTGTTCCATACTTGACACATCACCCTCCCCCTTTTCCGCCTTGCAGGGTGAAGAATTTATTTAAATAATCAATTTCTTCCAGAGTTGCCTTTTTCCTTAAGATAGAAAACATTTTTTTCCTACCAAAATGTTTTTTTCCTATTTGTATATTCTCCATGTTACGTTGGCCAACTATATATAAAATATATAGTTGGCCAAATATATATTTAAAATGAAATGAAAAAAATAGTAGTAGTAATAATAATAATAATAATAATAATAATAATAATAATAATAATAATAATAATAATAATAATAATAATAATAACAACACAGTAGCAAAAATATCAGAGAAAAGGATTTTATCATCCATTTTTCAGGGTTTTATCTAAGCGATTTTGATTGTTTTGATATTATGGGACAGTTAAGTTGTATTTACTTCTATTTGTTTATGACAATTCAAATGAAATGTCAAATTAGCATTCAGTCTGGCCTTATGTTATATTACAGTGTGAACAATGTCACAATGAAATACTTAACCAATACCAAGACTAGTGTCTAAATTGAGAGGGCCAGTCCACAGACAAAAATATACGCATGGGCTTCCATTTAGCCTGAAGCTGGAAAATGGCAGCAGATGGCTCCAGAAGGCATCTTTAGCCTATAGGAAAAAAGTCTGTTCTTTCTTTTTAAAAACCTTTTTCTTTCAATAATTTAAGATTTTAAACTGTCTTGAGTGCACTGGCAAAGAAGTAAAATCATAATGTATGAAATATGTAATAAATTCTGTGAAATAGTGCCATAAAAAACAGAATAGAAACACAAGTCAAGATAGGCAAGAAAATAGTAAGTGAGCACCTGTCCAGCCTAGACGAGTTCAAATCGCCAGGACCAGATGGATTACACCCCAAGGTTCTCAAGGAACTAGCAAATGTGATCTCTGAACCACTGAACTATATTTTTCAGAGATCCTGGAGCACAGGGGAACTA